GATGGACTGGCGTTGAGGTGGGGAGGGGTGAGGGGTGTGGGGGGGAGGGGGTGGGGTTTAGGGGGGGAGCGGGGGGGGGGAGGGGAGGAGGGGGTGTGGGTGGTCCTTTCCGTGGGTTTGGTCCTTTTTGCTGTATCTCTTCATTTTCGTTTTTTTTTTTTTATTTCTTTTTTTTGTTTTTTTTCTTTTTTTTCTTTTTTAGTTTTTTTATCCTTAACACCGCCGCTGGGCCCTGCACCTGGATGTTGCCCGTGCTGACCGTGTAGGTCGCCGTGATGCGCCCGGCCGCGCGTCGCCCCAGCAGCACGCTGGCCTCCACGCGCCCCTTGCTCGTGGCCCTGTTGTTGATCATGTTCTCGGCGCCCGCCAGCACCTCGAGAAGGCAGCGGATCGCCAGCACGTCGCAACGAGCCGCGAACTTCATGGTTCTGGGGGCCAACCCCGGCCGAGTGCACTGAGGGTGAAGTCCTTGTCTGAGCCGTGGCAGCTGTCGCGCTTGCTGCAATGCCACGCTCCTGCCGTCTCCTGCGCTCCTCTGCCGCTCTCTGAAGATGCATCGACTCGTCGAAGAGCTGATACCGCCCGGACCGAATCACCGCTCGCAGCAGATCAATCGGTCTCGCCTCGTCCTTCGTGAATCCGTCGGCCAACTGACATGTCGTCGGAGCCCATCGCAAAGTCGTCGATACTCGAGCTAGCGACTCTCGCACGATGACCACGTCGATCGCTGTTCGCTTGTCCTTCACCGGTGCCCCAGACCCCGTGATGTTGTCGTACGCCGATTTACAGTCAATCACACACACTGATGGTCGTTTCGAGAAAGACTCCTCTCTCCGTGTCGGCTCGAAGTTCGGGTCGATCGCCTCCTGCATGATACTCATCATCCACTCCATGTGCCCGAGCCCGTCCGCCAGTGTTTGAACTTCCCCCGCTAATGTCGCCGCTACCGCACGTTTCAACCGGCTCGACTTCCAAACCAGTGGTGACCACTCGCTCTCAGAATCGTTCATCACCGCCCGGTCCACCGCCGCTATGACGTATCCTCCCTGTGTCCCTTCTCGAGTCGCATTCGCAAACGCCGCATCGGTGTGGGCCATGAGGGTGAGGCTGGTAACGGGGATGGATCTGATGACGATCTCCAGATCCGCGAACTGGCGCGCTCGGCGGACCATCTGATTGATGAGCTTTTGCGTGGCAACAGTCGGGCGGCCCATCTGCTGCTGTGCCATGTTCACCTGCACCGCTATGTCCAGTCGGGTCTGGGACTGGAGCCAATTGCCCTCGCCCAGCGCGCGCCTACAGGCCGAGACTTCGGCAGGCGTCAGCTCCCGCTCGTCAGGGGCCGTGCGGTCCACCCTCAGCAGCCGCATGCCCTTCGCGAACTTCGCCTGGCCGATGTGGATGTTGAACTGCTCGTCCTGCCACAGCTGCGCGCCGCAGAACTCGCCGTCGCCGATCCGCCACTTGCGGAACGGCAGCCTGGACCGCAGCTCCTTGATGATCTTCTCGTACCGCTCGCCGTCGCCGCCAGTGATCACGTCGTCCACGTGGATGACCAGCAGGCCCTCGAGGGTCCCATCAGGACCCCGGCAGAAGAAGAGGCAGGGGTCCAGCCTTGACTGCTGAAGACCCGCCCCTCGCGCCACCTTCACGAACTTGCGGAACCACCGCTTCGGCGCGTCGTTCAGACCGTACAGCGGCAGGTCCATGCGCACGATGGAGTCGGCATGCACCCCCGGGAGGCCGCCCGTCGGCTGCTGCATGTACAGTGGCCCCTCGGGCCTGTCCAGCGCGTCGCTCTCGAGGAAGGCGCCCTTGACGTCGCCAATCTGCATCCTCCAGCGATTGCTCGCCAGGAGTTGCAGAGCCATCGCCCTCGCGTTCTGGCTCACCGTCGGGGCCTCCGTGTCGCCGCGCTCCACCAGCTGCAGCAAGTCCGGGTCGCCGAACCCCTTGACCGTCAGCCGGCCCTTGACCACGCCGTCATCCTTCTCGACGAAGACAAAGCGCGACTTGAGCACCCGGTCGGGGCTCACCGACTTGATGTGCCGGGACTCCTCTGGAGAGATCACCGTCACCGCACGTTTCTCGTCGTGGACGTGGTTCCACTCCGTGACCTTGGCGTCGTGGATGCGCTGCTTCAACTCCGGCGTCGCCTTGGACTCGTAGATCTCCTTGCGCCCCTTCGCGAGCAAGCAGTCCTCCAGCTCCACGCCCTCGTCCCCGGCCACCTCCAGCCGGAGGAGGCACTCCTGTGGTATCCCGGGAAGACCCCCGGGTGGTTGGGTGACATAGAACACCTGCCGCTCCTCCGCCAACAGCACCTCGTCCACCTTCACGTCTTCGCGAGCCACGAAGAGGGTCTCCGTGGGCCTCATCACCTTGGCCGGCGGTTCTGGGATTTCGGGGTGCGGCTCCTTCACCCTGATGCGTCGCCGCCCCTCGACTTCGGCCGGCGTGGCGTCCTGCAGCGCCTCCGCCACCGGGTCCGCCGAACCTCGGGCACCGGTCGATGCCCTTGGGGGCGACCGGCTCCTGACACGACTCTCGAGCCGCTCCACCTCCGAGCGGACATACCCTTTCGGGTGATCCTGCTCCACCGGCGCCAGTGGTTCTTCTGCGTTCTCCTCCAGGCTCTCCAACTCTGGTGCCATTGTCGGCACCGGTCGTGGGTCCTCGATCACCGGGTCGAATGCGATCTCCGCTCCAGGTGGCGCCTCCTCCTCGGTGATGTCGATGTAGCCCGGCTGCTGGTTCCTCGCTGAGGCCCGCGCCAGTGCGTCCGGAGAGAGAAGGTCCTCCTCCAGCTCCGCCGCCACGATCTCCTCCCGCGTACCTGGGCGCAGCTGCCAGGGCGCCGTCAAGAGCCACTGGCCGCCGAAGGACACGATGTAATTGTCCCTCAGCTTGCCCACCACGCGCGCCAGCCCTCGCCATCTGGCCTTGGCCGCCTTCTTGGAGCTGCCCTTGCCGCGCCTCCAGAAGGCCACGAAGTCACCGGCCTTGAAGACCTGGCGAACCCTCGGCCGCGCATCCAGGGCTGCTCTCATGGCCCTGTCGTCCTTCAGGGCCACGGTAGCCATGCGCGCCGCTTGCCGTACCGCCGCCCGGCGGGCAAACTCCTCGTCGTGCATCACCGCCGAGTTGCACACTGGGTCGTTGCCGATCGGCTTCAGCGCCTCCGGCAGCGGCGGGTCCCGGCCGAACACCCATTGCAGTGGGGAGTAGCCGGATCGCCTGGTCAGCCGGTTCTTGGCCTCACAGCAGGCTGCCACGGCCTCCAGCCAGTCCGCCTGGTTGTCGATCGTCTGCTCGGCGATGACCTTCTTGAGGATGCGCTCGAACCACTGGCCGTGCACTTCCGCCTCGGCGTTCTGCTCGTGCGCGTCTCCAGCCGCTCTGTCGACGATGGCGGTGCCATCCTTTTCGAAGCCCTCCATCATGTCAGCGCCGAGGTTCGTCGTGCCACTGTCCACCTTCACCCGAGCCGGCGCATGGTAGTGCTGCACCCAGGTGTGGTGGTAGAGCCTCCGCAACACCGCCGAGGTCTCCTGCTCGAAGAAGGGCTCCACCTGCTGCAGCTCCGACCCCGTGTCCACCACGTTGAGCGCCTTGACGGTGACCGGGCCGCCGATCCAGCCGGGGAAGTGCTTGACGTCCAGGCTGATCGTGTGCAGCGGTGGGACATCCTTCGCCGGCGCCGCTGGCTGCAGCACCTTGGGTTGGACGTTGATGTCACACACATCGCAGGTGAGCCGGCGCGCGATCTTCAGCGCCTGCTCGCAGGCGCCGCCGTTCTTCAGCACTCGCACCAGAGTGTCCGCGCCAGGGTGCCCCAGGTTCTTGTGGAGCCGCATCAGGGCGGTCCTGATGTTGTCCTCCGTCAGCTTCGGCAAGTCCCCTTCCGTCGCCAACGCCTCCGCCATGAAACTCATGGCATCCCTCGTGTCGAGGGCTGCCAGCGCGCCCTCGACCACTCGCACCAGCAGGTCCTCCGGGTACGTCTCCGTGTAACCGCTCCTCTTCGTACCTCCGCGCATGGTGCCCAGCGTCACCGTGTGCTGGTGGCCGCCGCGGCACTTGGCCTCCACTGCCTCGGCCAGCGTGGCGTCGTTGGTGAGGAACTGCCACTGCTTGCTGAAGTAGAGGTCGGTCCCAGGCTCCTTCAGGCCAGCCTCGCACGCCGCGCTGGTGACCAGGTAAAACTGTTCCCGGTAACGGTCCACGAGCGCCACCAGTGCCTTGACCTGCCAGGATTTTGCCCGCGCCGGCGCTTCGAGCAGGAACAGCCGGCCGCCGCGGGTCTGCATGTCCGCCACCCGTGCGCACCACTCCACGTAGCCGATCGCCCGCTTGTAGTCGCGGATCCACTTCACCGGGTCCTTCGGGCAGGCCGTGAGGTTCTGGAGGATCGTCAGCATCCGGCACGGAGGGCTCATCAGCACCAGCCATGGCTTCTCGTGCTCAACGATGCTCTCCACATCCAGCCGCACCTCCGGGTCGTCGAGGTCCCAGCCCGTCTTGAGGTCGAAGGCCCCCAGACTCGACATGCCTGCCATCGCGGCGGCCTGGGCCAGCCGCAGTGGGGAGAACAGCTCCAGCACTGCCACGTTCGCACGGTTGTCCAACCGGGCCTGCGCCGCCGCC